ATTAAACTAATATAAAAAGGCCTCAACCAAGTCTATGGCCATTGTGGCAAGGAAGTTTAACTAAACAAGAGAGCTTTTATCTCACCTAAAAGCCTAAAACTACATCCACTTAGATAAATTTTCAGCTCCCATGTAAAAAGGTTTGATCATCAACTTCCTTAAATTATTATTTTATGTGGATCCCGACATCATATTAGAACATGTTAAAACTTAATTCACCGAATTATTATTTTATTAACATATATACATACACGAACCTGTCATATGGATCCACGACATCATATTAGAACATGTTAAAAGACTTAATTCACCTAATGACAAATATATTTTAAATTAACAATAAATTTGAGTGGGTTCCGTTCATCCCAATCAAATTTAATGAGAACCTATAAATCAACTCAATCGGTAAAATTTTCATCTATTAGAACTCAACCAAATCCAAATAAATTCGTAACCCAATTCAAACGTGAGTTGATAAAGTTTTTCGAACTATCGAGTTTACTACAACCAAACTTGTATTCACATCATATTTGCAAACCTCACAGATGATGAAGTACAGAACATCCCCCCTCCCCTCCAAGCTTTATTTCATATTTAACCATCCCAACAAAAGAAAATAAGTCCTCTTTTCCGTCCTAACTCAACTCAACTCAAACTCAACTCAAACTCAACTCAACATGCTACACAGTAAACGTTTCCTAAATGTAATCAGTAGGATTCAAATTCATTAAGCAGCAGATGGAGAAGGCTTTAATTTTTTTGGTGGCGGGTTTCCCCCAGAAATTACCACATATATGTAGAAGCACAGCATTGCAGCGCTGAGAGAAACAAAGCCAAAACAAGTTTGCGTTGGGAGAATTTGATTAATCTCAAGTAGAGTTAGCGAAGGAAGACATGTCAGTCAGAACTATCAAAAAAGAGTTTACCTGAGTGCAGCGTATAAGGCCGATGGAAACACGTTTTTGGTCTACAATCACGAAAATAGTATAATCACGACATTAATATCTATTGACTCAGGTCGAATATTTATATGGATGAAGTGCGATAAAGTGCATACCGATGAGTACGTCTGAAAACTATTCCAGAAAAATGAGGCGGTAAGTACTGCAAAGATGGTAAGCACACAGTCAAATTCAGAACTTGAACATAACTTTTGTATTTCGAGCAATTAAAACATGCTGAATGCATATATTATGTATACAATTAAAACGAGGCAGTAAGAATGCACGAGCGTACAAGAAGATAGTCCACCAAGAGAGACCGAACAACTAACTATACGAAAAAAGGCTCCAAAGACCTAATTAAAACACGTTATATTGCATGTCTGAAGTATATTTAGAGGGAGATGCAACTGACTTAAAAGAGTAACCAAATCAATTACCTGCTTGTCCTAGAATATATGGCAAACTGGACTTCCCCTGCCTCCAGATTTTCAAACTTAAAGTGCTCAGAGCCAGCAAAGCACCCCCAGAGATCAAACTGGTCAATGCAGACGGGTTTCTCGAAAATATTAAGCTAATAAGGCCACCACTTAGAACAATTCCACCTGTAACGAGTTCATAGTCAAACGTTAGGGGGGGTAAGAACATGGCACCATTAGGTTGTATTCTTTCAAAGTGGAAGGCATGTTTTATTACACAGGAAGGGAAGGTTCTGAACTTAAGCGAACATACAAAGATTAAACGATGTGGGATCTCTATTGCTTTAACGTCCTGATTTATCGGTTTATCATTATTCCAATAAAAGAAACTGTCAGATACTTTCACCCCCTTTTCCTTATTTAAAACCCTCTAATTCAATATCATCCCGTAGATAACAAACAGAGAAACAGACTAAGTCACGCATATTCTCGACATTGCATTGAAACAGAACAGGACATCATCTAGAGACTCTTAAAGTTTAACAAATACAAGAAAGAAATTATCAAATTATCCAGTACCCTAAAGAGAGTTTATAAGGCAATCTGTTCCCGTATCAACACTGGTAAAAAAAAATTTCCAAAGATCAAAGCAGTAAACAAGAATAAGAACTAGTTAGGGCAATTCGAGACAACCAGCTTCCTGTCCCAACACAAATCCCACACACGTGATGATTACATCACACCTGCTATATATATGTGCAGTCTATACTAACTCTTAAATGTTACATTACCATTCCCACCTCTCCCTCCAGTAAACTTTCACAGCACAGACATAGGCCAATAAGTTCACTAACACCCAAAAGCTTCATGGCACGGGGAAAGAAAGCAAACAGATTCAGCTTTCTAAAGGTTGTTAAGCAGAGAACATATCTAATTAACAGTTTGGCAAATGGAATTTTGTTTTCTCCTTCAAGACCAATGCCCACCAGGTGAAGGGCATGCTCAGTCAAATTTTCTTCCAATACCATTGACGAAGAAGTTTTCTTTCTTAAATTTATTCTGAATGAGAAAACGGGAAACGGGTACTGAAGAATTGAAATAATCCCTCACTATTTTATCTCTGTTTCATGTTTTTGTTGCATGAGCTCCTTAAAGATTACTGTTTTATCAGAATACATTATGAAAATTAACCTCAACCAGCTGGTTATTTTCTGCATTCCATTCGTAATCCTCATGATCACATGACTTGAGTCATCTCAGTCATTCTAGAGCCACTAGGTCAAGGCATTTGGCGATCAAATCAACCATTCACATTTTAAACTGAATGAATGCATTTGTAGAACTGCTACTCGTTTCGTATAATAAATAAGTGATTGCAAAAAACTAAGGCTTTGATCAGGTTACAGTTTCTTAATAGCTACATTTAACACAACAAATCATCATTCAATGTAATGCATTTGAGAAACAATATTAGGAGGTGAGAAGCACTTTTCCTCCTCCTCAAGTGAAAGGCCAAGACCCCAACACAATGCAAGCAATAATGTTGCATTCTAACTGCTACAAGCAGCTAGCCTATCAATGACAAAAGAATGCAAAACTCACCGAAGGGAATGCCAAAACAGAAATCATGGATTTTTGCTGATCGTTTAGGCACAGTGCCAACGTCGTTCTCTACATTTCCAACATCAGACGACTCTTCAACACCAGGATATGAATTTGAGGTAACTTGAGATTCTGATGCATAACTGGCATCGCTTAAAGTTGTCTTAGTCTGGGCATCAGCATCAGCAGTATTTGAAGCAGATCCTTCAAGGCTCATAACAATCGATAACTAAAAAAGGAAAACTCGAGTATCAGTTCAACCGATTATGCCACTTGATGCCCTCGTGTTTACCACCATTAACCTAAGCCATTACTTAAACACAGCACAAGAATTAAGCACTTTCAAGAAATGACCATTTCAAAACTTTTAAAACTAAATGGGAACTGTCCTATCTCTTGTCAATTAGAAGTTCGATCTAAGTTCTAAAAAATGTACAGATGAGTATCGATGAAAACTCTAACAAGTGAACAAAGCGAAAACTAAATTCAAGCAGAGAAGCAATAAAATTCAAGCAGCAGCGAGAGCTTATTAGATTGAACGTAGTATTAAATCAGGTAATCGAAACATCAAAATCATTCAACCCAACTTGCAAAAGATACTGTTTCTGAATTAAAACATTCAAGATAGCGAATTTAATCTTAATTATCCGTCCTTGAATGAATATAAATCAAATCCCAGACTTACAGAAAAAGCGTTTTCATCACTAATTCATAATAGCGAAACAGACTCATAACTCATCGAAATTCACAACAATTTCTTCAAATCTCGGATTCGTAAAGTTGCCAAAAGAAATCAGAAACAAGAATACGGAAATGAAACACAAACCTTAGGCAAGGAAAGAGAAGGGCGAGGAGCTAAAAATGAGCGGCGCTGTTGCAGGCGAAAGCCACGGTTGATGGCGAAGAAGCACGAAAACTGAGACGCCGTCGCCGCCATTTTAGATCGGAGCAAGGCTAGAAGAAGAATTAACAACAAAATCGAGCAATCAACGGAGCGAAAATTCAACAAGGAGGATCTGAGTTCCGATTGAATGTGACGAATCGAGTCGGGGGTTTAGAGGATTATACTTATTCGAAGAATCTGGATCGTCTCCACGTTTTACAGAAGACTGAACGAGTTGAATTCACATTAAAATTTTCAAAAAAAGAAAATACCTTATTTCTTTTAATAATAATAAGCCTAAATTAATAAAAATGCCATTTTTAAGATTAATAATATCTTTATTTATTTTTTTTAAATGACAAATTATTACTGCATTATTTCAAAATTAAAAATACCCTCAAATTTTTAAAAATTTCAACATAAAAAAAAATAAAAAAATACATTTATATTAAAAAAATATCCACCAAATTTAAAAATTAGCATTAACATCTTTTATCTATATAAAAGAAAAAATATGATACATTGTAAATTATGTACAAATATTTTAATATTATTTTAGAAAGTTCATTACTTATTTAAAAATTAATAAACTGACTGTAAAAATAATTTTCGAAATTTTTAAATTTTTAAAAGGTATTATTGAAATTTTAATAATTTAATGATATTTTTTAAAGTTGATAATTTTAAAACTATTTTAAACGTTCAGCATAACAAAGTATTAATGATAGTTGGTAAAGTTTTAATAATAATTATAAAATTAAATAAAAATAAAATGAATATTGGTCCCTATCATAAATAAAAGTATTTTTTTTTTAATTAACAATAAATTCGAGCCGGTTTAGTTCAACTTATTCTAATTTTAGAACAATCGGATGAACCATCTCGAACTCAATCCAATCTAAATAATCTCGTAGCTCAATCCAAACCGTACAAATTGAGTTGGGTTGATCGGGCTTTCCTGTCGTCGGATATTTTGGACTCCACTACTAATATTTTAAAAAAAAAAAAGAAAAAAAATATTATCTATTAAATAAATAAACAAAAATCCAAAATATATTTTTTTTATTTTTGGGATTTTTGTATTAGAAATGTTTTTTTTTTTTTTTTTTTTTTTTTTTTTTTTTTAGAAATAAATTCATTTCATCATCTGAGTTTTTACAATGGGCTTGATTCAAGTAACCTCCACAAGCACCGAAATGAACAATGGAGCTTCTCCTCTGCAGAATCCCCAAGCGCCGAAGCTCTTAATCTTCAAACCCTAACCCCAAACTCTCCTCATTAAGCTTTACGATCATGCCATTCTTCCTCGCATCTTCAGTCTTCCGTTCTTGCCGTCTCAAGCATTTTGAAGTAACGCGCCTTTCGTCTCTGTTCTACGCCATCCGCCATGTATCTTTCCTTTTACTGCTTCTTTTACTTGTATTAGTTCAGACCTTTGTCTTAAATTGATATTATTTGTTCTTGTTGGAATTTCAAGCTTTTTATTTCTGGGTTTTGTCTGTAATGTCCTCTGGATTGAAATGAATTAGATATTGGCATAGAATGATAAGCTTTTTTTCTTGTGAATGTGAAAAGTGTGAGATCCTACATCGGTTGGAGAGCGGAACGAAGCATTCTTTATAAAAGTGTGGAAATCTCTTCCTAACCGATGCGTTTTAAGAACTTTGAGAGGAAGTCCAAAAGGATGGTGTGCTTGAGCTGTTACAAATGGTATTAGTGCTAGACATTGGGTGAGGTGCTAGTGAGAACGTTGGGCTTCGAAGGGAGGTGGATTGTGAGATCCTACATCGATTGGAGAGAGGAATGAGGGCCAGTGAGGATGTTGGCCCCAAAAGGGGTGGATTGTGAGATCCCATATCGATTGGAGAGAGGAACGAGTGCCAGCGAGAACGCTGGGCCGCGAAGGGGGGTGGATTGTGAGATCTCACATCGGTTGGAGAGGGGAATGAAGCATTCTTTATAAGGGTGTAAAAACCTCTTCTTGGTAGACGCGTTTTAAAAACCTTGAGAGGAAGTTTGAAAGGGAAAGCTCAAAAGAGGACAGTATCTACTAGCGGTGTGCTAGGGCTGTTATAAATGGTATCAGAGCTAGACACTGGATGATGTGCCAGCAAGAACGCTGGGCTCCAAATGGGTGGTGGATTGTGAGATCCCACATCGATTGGAGAGAGGAACAAGTGCCAGTGAGGATGCTGGGTCCCGAATGGGGTGGATTGTGAGATCCCACATCGGTTGGAGAGGGGAATAAAGCATTCTTTATAAGGGTGTGGAAACCTCTCCCTAGCAGACACGTTTTAAAAACCTTGACGGGAAGCCCAAAAGGAAAAGTTCAAAGAGGACAGTATCTATTATCTATTAGCCGTGCGGTTCACAAGAAGGAAAAGGAAGAAACGAAAGGATTTAGATATCATTTTTGGATAATGGGGATTTTGAAAGTATTTTGTCTCTGTTTAGCTTTCAATTTAGTAAGATTTTATTGATGGGTTTTCCGAGTTTTGTGTTTCTTTTGTGACCCTTTTCACTTTTGTTACAGAAGAGAAGGAGAGATGTGATCAACTGCTTGGGTTTGGATGCTTGTCATTTTTCTTCACTTGGTAAAAGCGCCAGCGATCTTTTTCTTTTTCTTTGTTGCTCATTTGTAATGATCCTAGATTTCTACTTACCTAGAGTCGCTACTGTCATCATAGCCTAATCATTTCTATGCAGAAATAGACGTTTAAACTTTTTTATAAGACATAAACTTCGTGTTATTCTAGCTTAAGTGTAAGAAAATAAATGTGACTACCGTTGTCAACCGTACAGGGATGCCTTGCCTTTACCTGAAATAGAAATAGAAGTAGCACTGACTTGAGTATTTTAAATGCAAACACATGCTATTTTCCATGAATGCAAACACATATAGTTCCATGAATGGGACCTATCAAAATATGCTATTTTCTTAAGGCGGCCATCCTAACGGGCAATTGGAATGTGTACTTAATTTCCCTACCCACGGTCCAAACGTGCGAGTATGGACCCACTAGTTGGTTCGCATACCTCCTGGGCTCTCTTTCTGGTCGGGCGAGCATTCTCTGGTAGTTGTTGATGCCGGACACCGGTTAGGAAGCGACCATCACGACAACATTATGATAACATAATGATCATTTTCCTGCCTCGTAGCGTACGCATCCGTACTATCGTGAAGGATAAGGGGTATCCCCTAACGCATGAACACACAATAATGCATGAGGTCCCAACATTTTTTCATTTTCATTACCATTTAATACAACCCCACTAGCGTCTTCTTTCATATCATATTAGCTTGCTTGTCATTTTTCCTCACTAGGTAAAAGCGCAAGCGATCTCTTTCTTTGTAGCTCATTAGTTATATAAGAGATGTCCAATTGACGGTTTCTGTTTACCTGATACACCTTAATTTGTGTTTATGGCTTTAGTTGATGTTTCGGAGTTCGAATGTGATAAGCTTAGTGATGATACTAGAACAACAGAGAAAGATGCTGCACTACGTTTGGCAGTCACTCAGCTTGCTGGTGAGTTTGGGAAGGAATCTATGTTGTGTTTGCAGAGGTTTTTCAGCTCCCGGAATGCACCTGTGATTTCTACTGGATCATTAAAGCTTGACCTTGCTCTTGGGATTGGAGGATTACCTAAGGTGAGTAATTGCAAGTTGAATTCTTCTTCTGCCTTATATTTGATTCATTCATGTACTTTTGGAATTGGAATGTGTTTGCAGTTAAAGTTCGTGTCGGGTTGATTTGAACATAAACAGGTTTAACGGTTGTTACTTTGTATCGTCGTCTTGTCTTATAGGAGAAATTTTCTTATGTATGTTTTGAACCTTACCATAGTTGGGTTTGTTGCATGTTATTTAGTATCATATTTCATTTCTTCTTGTTGTTTCTTCAAGGGTGGGTTTGAGTGGCAATCTTGTGGAGGATTGTCGGAATCCCACGTTGCTAATTAAGAGAAAGATCATAGGTATATAAGTAAGGATTACTATCTCCATGTATGAGGTCTTTTGGGGAAACCGAAAGCAAAGCCATGTGAGCTTATGCTCAAAGTGGACAATATTATATCAATGTTGAGGGTTGTTGTTCCTAACATGGTATCAGACTCATGCTCTTATCTTAACTTAGTCATGTCAATAGATTTCTCAAGTGTCGAACAAAGAAGTTGTGAGCCTCGATTGTGTAGTTATAGTGTGACTCAGGTGTCGAACAAAGTTGTGAGTCTCGAAGGTGTAGTCATAGTGAAGATTCGTGCTAAGCTCTATTGGACCCAGAGAAAAGGAGTCATCTAGATAGTCTAGACAGGCAGATGACTTTTTGAGGGGAGACCCAATGGTGGGTGTAGTCATGAAGATTCATGCTAGAGCTCTACTTAACCAGTAATGTACTCCAGAGAAAGGGTGTCGTCCTGATAGTGCTAGACAAATAGAGGACGGTTTAAGGGGAGGCTCAATGATGTACTTTGTTCGAGGGGAGGATTGTTGGAGTCCCACATTGACTAATTAAGCGGAAGATCATAAGTATATAAGTAAGGGACACTATCTCTGTTGGTACAAGACCTTTTGGGGAAACCAAAAGCAAAACCATGAGAGCTTATGCTCGGACAATTATGTAGTTTCAGCATGATTCAGTTCTAAGTCGTATGATTATTTATAAATTACATAATGCATACTTATGAAAGTTTGCAAAAGCATTGTTCGTGAGCACTCTACTTGCTATGCAGGGAAGAATAGTTGAAATTTATGGGCAAGAAGCTTCTGGAAAGTCAACATTGGCGCTCCACATCATTAAGGAGGCTCAGAAACTTGGAGGTAACCGGTATCTGTTGGTTTTGCCTTTTTTTTTGGATCAGAATGATAACTGCCTGTTGATAATTCTGACAAGTTGTTTAGTTTAAAATATTTTGTTCAAGATGAAACCCATTTGGTTTGGTATCAACCCGGATTTTTATACCGTCCTTTTTTTTCATGCTCGTTCTTCGTTTTTATCCAATCTCATAACATATCGAAACTACTTGTTGGATCATGGATTGTTATTGTTGAGAATTATTGACAAGAGTAGTCCCGCATAGGAAGATCTTGGGTTTGTAAGGTAAGGAACACTATCTCCCTTGGCATGAGGTCTTTTGGGGAAACCAAAAACAGAACCATGAGAGCTTATGCTCAAAGTGGACAATATCATACCATTGTGGAGGTTCGTGATTCCTAACATGGTATCGGAGCCATGCCCTTAACTTAGCCATATTAATAAAATCCTCAAATGTCGAACAAAGACACTGTAAGCCTTGAAGGAGTAGTAAAAAAAGACTCAAGTGTCAAACAAATGGTGTACTTTGTTTGAGGGCTCCAGAGAAAGGAGTTGAGCCTCGATTAAGGGAAGGTTGTTTGAGAGCTCCATAGGCCTCAGGGGAGGCTCTATGGTGTACTTTGTTTGAGGGGAGGATTGTTGAGGATTATTGAAAAGAGTAGTCCCACATTGGCTAATTAAGAGGAAGATCATGGGTCTATAAGTAAGGAACACTATCTCCATTGGCATGAGACTTTTTGGGGAAACCAAAAGCAAAACCACGAGAACTTATGCTCAAAATGGACAATATCATACCATTGTGGAGGTTCGTGATTCCTAACCGTTATTGCTCTCACTTTCAAATTCAAGTCTTGACTTCTATTATTTATTATTATTTTTATGAATGAATTGTGAATGTTGTAATGAATTATGGAGATAAGATGGTATTATTTTCCAAAATATGATTTTTTGTCGGCGTAGCCAGCAATCTCACACACACTAATGATAGAATGCTCCGATACCGCTTTTTTGAAAATACTACTTGCGGATTTGTGAAGGAGATGTCGTGAGAGGAGAGACAAGGAGACAAATAACACTGATTTTATCAAAAACCTTTTCTATTGCTCTGTATTTCTTTGCTCTCTGTTTTTTGCTCTGACTTTACAGGAAAAGGATTAGGTATTTATAACCTTTCTAACACTAATAATAGGGTGAGAGAAACGCTCATAAACCCTTACCATCATTCTCTATAACAGCTCTGGGCCTTGTCTTTCAACTGGCTTTTAAGTATTTGGTATTTTAAGTATTTCAACAGAATTTACCAATGTAATTTAGTACAACTTTCTTTGCCCCTTTTCTAGTTTGTATTTTCCTATCTTTTATCTCTTTTTAGGTGCAATTTCCCTTGTCCCCTTTCTGGTTTGGAAGGTCACTTAGGAGCAAACAAGAAAGGCAGATTAATACATGGCTTTCAAGGAAACTTTGAAATGTGGCGGGTCAATGATTCACCAATATGACTGTAAAAAACACACGTGCATAAGTATATTTCGTGCAACGTGTACCACAAGGACATATGTCCTAGCCTGTGAGATCCCACATCGGTTGGGAGGGGAATGAAGCATTTCTTATAAGGGTGTGGAAACCTCTTCCTAGTAAACACATTTTAAAACATTGAGGGAAAACCCAGAAGGGAAAGCCTAAAGAAGACAATATCTATTAGAAGTGGACTTAGGCTGTTACAAATGGTATTAGAGTTGGGCACGGAACGATGTGCTAGCAAAGACGCTGGCCTCCCAAGGGGAGTAGATTGTGAGATCCCACTTCGGTTGGAGAGGAGAACGAAGAATTCCTTATAAGGGTATGGGAACCTCTCCCTAGTAGTTGCATTTTAAAACCGTGAGGCTGACGACGATATGTAACGGGCCAAAACAGACAATATCTGCTAGCGGTGAGATTGGACTGTTACAAATGGTAACAGAGCTAGACACCAAGTGGTGTGCCAGCGAGGACGCTGAGCCAGACACCGAGCAGTGTGCCAACGAGGACGCTAAGCTAGATACCGAACGGTGTACCAACGAGGACGCTGGGACCCCAAGGGGGGTGGATTGTGAGATCCCACATCGGTTGGAGAGGGAAACGAAGCATTCCTTATAAGGGTGTGGAAATCTCTCCCTAATAAACGTGTTTTAAAACCTTGAGGGGAAGTGTAGAAGGGAAAGCCAAAAGAGGACAATATCTGTTAGCGGTGGACTTGGACTGTTACATAGCCATACCAAGTTTCGTGGAATTTATCGACAGATTTTTGGTTTCTTTGTTTCATTATCTTTTGCTTATTGATTTTCCCCTGGGCAGGATATTGTGCATATTTTGACGCAGAGAATGCAATGGACATGTCACTTGCTGAAGCAATGGGTATAAACGTAGATAATCTTCTTATTTCACCTCCAGATACTGCTGAAAATTTGTTGTGTGCCGTTAATACGTTAGTTAAAAGTGGATCGGTCGACGTAATCGTGGTTGATAGCGTAAGACTACCTTGCCCTCATGTATTGTATTACCTATCTCAAAACGTCTTATTTAGTTATGGTTCTGCCATGATCTTCGTTTTATTTGCCAAAATTCTGAGGACCGATAGCGATATATTCAGTAACTATGTCATTTGTCATATGCTTCTATTCTTAGGACTCGTGGACTAGTTTTATATTATCGAGTCTTCGATAGTCCGCTGATGCTTTCATTGGAACTGCAGGTAGCTGCACTTGTTCCACAAAGTGAACTCGATGCTTTGATTGGCAGTCCACAGAAAGACGTTCAATCTCGAGTGATGACCCGAGCGTTGAGGAAAATACATTATTCCCTGAGCCTATCTGAAACTCTGATTGTTTTTATTAATCAGGTTGGAACTAAGTTGCAAAAGTTCTTCCTCATATTGTCAGTATAAGAAAGTGTTTCACTATGCAGCATTATCGTCTTACAGGTTAGATCGAGCGGAGGGGCTCGGGGTGGTTTTGGACAGATGAATGAGGTAACCTGTGGTGGGAATGCCTTGCAATTCTATGCAGCAGTCAGATTGAGGCTTTTGAGAAGGGGATTACTGAAGAGTGACGATAAGGTACGCTTCATCTCGTAGTTGCTAGCCGTGATTCGTTGTAATAGTCAAAGCCCACCGTTAATAGATATTGTCTGTTTTGGCCTGTTACCTATCGCCGTTAGCCTCACGGTTTTAAAACGCGTCTACTAGGAGAAGGTTTCACACCCTTATAAGGAATGTATCGTTCCCCTCCCCAACCAATGTGGGATCTCACAATGCATCCTCCTTGGGGCCCCAACGTTCTCGTTGGCACACTGTTCGGTGTTTGGCTCAGCGTCCTCGCTGGCACACCGCTCGGTGTCTGGCTATGTTACCATTTGTAACTGTCCAAGTTCACCGCTAACAGATATGGTCTGCTTTGGCCTGTTACGTATCGCCGTCAGCCTCACGGTTTTAAAACGCGTCTACTAGGGAGAGGTTTCTACACCCTTATAAGGAATGCTCTGTTCTTCTCTTCAACCAATGTGGGATCTCACAATCCACCCTCCTCGGGACCAGCATCCTCACTAGCACACCACTCGGTGTCTGGCTCTGTTACCATTTGTAACCGCTCAAGCCCACCTCTAACAGATATTGTTTGCTTTGACCCGTTACATATTGCCATCAGCCTCACGGTTTTAAATCCGTCTACTAGGGAGAGGTTTTCACACCCTTATAAGGAATGCTTGGTTCCCCTCTCCAACCAATGTGGGATCTCACATTCGTTAACATGGTTTTACCGATTATTTACAACATAGCTTCATTTTTGGATTGTATACTTTAGACCTCTCCAACCAATGTGGGATCTCACATTCGTTAAAACGCGTCTACTAGTCATTTAATTTTTGCAGCATTTTGCGTTAATATGAAACCTGAGAAGACTTTAGACCTCTGGTTTTTCATGTATGGAATGCTTTCTTAAATCCGACCATGGTTTGTTCTAGGTCACGGGTCTTGCGGTTGCCGTGCAAGTGGTGAAAAATAAATTAGCAACGTCGATGAAAACGGCAGAACTCAGGATACGCTTTGGGAAAGGCTTATGCTGTGAATCTGAGGTTTTGGAATTGGGTTGTGAGCATGGAGTTATTCTTAAAGATGGAAACAACTTTCGTATAGAAGGGAGGATTTGCAGCAGCAAGTATGAAGCACACCAATATCTTATGGAAAATGAAGATGTTCTTTGTAAGGTGGTTGAGATCTTAAGAAACCAATTATTTGTACAATAGTAGAGTTCTTCACCCCTTGATGATTTCCTTGAATTATGGCTTTGCGAGTCGTTTACGATAACCCGAGCAAGGGAAGAGTCATTGGAGAAGTCGAAAGTCTTTAGAGGCTTCTCGTTGAGAACTGACAAAAGGAAGAGAGCAACCGTGTAATCCATAGCTTGCTTTGATTAGTTGACAGGGCGGGCTCGGAGAGGTCATTGCCAATGCCATTAGCCTACGATGGTTGACATTTTGTTTCGAGTAGTGGGTGCATTCTTCCATTTTCAAGTCGGGCAAAAAGCAAGAATTTGGCTTTCTTGTTGATTCAACGTAACTACAATATTCAGGTATTTGTATGATTATAGAGTTAAAAGATAATATTTTGATTGATATTATTGAAATTATTTATTATATATATATTTGTGTTTTAATGAGATAGTAAAAAAACTCGAGTACAATACAACAAAACATTTGAAGTTGATCGATATTTTATTAAAGATAAGTTAGAGAACGGGATAGTATGCATTAGTTATATGCCCTCATGACTACAATCGATAGATGTACTAACAAAAAAAACTTTGCAGCTCGATGTTTGAATGGATCTTGAGGAGTGTCGAAAGACCGACAATATTTTTATGGATTGTTACCTGATGTCGGGAGAAGTGGTTAGTAAGATATTTCACTTGCAATGTGTAACTCCTTAAGGTCAAATCCAAATTAGGTAAAGCAAGTAAGGGGGCATGATATTCTCCGACTAGAATTTAATTTAATGGTGAAGCAACGGCACTAAAGTCTTTGCTAATACATGGAACTTTTTACCCCATTTACGCTTCGAGGCATGGGTCAGTCTTGTATTTCCTTTATCGTCTCTCGATCAACTTCTACTCCTTGGTTGTCACAACATAAGCTAAGATTCGAGCATAACAACTAAAACCAAACTCCCTTCATGCCACCCGACACACCCAATGCCTTCTAAGGTGTGGGCAACACCATTCTGCTAACGTTTAATGACAAAAAGACAACAAATATCGCTAGACGCGAATCAAGAAATCTCCATGAAAATGGATATGACCTCCATTAAAGTCCTCGTGATTGAGGATACAAACAAATACCATGACATCTGACTCACATAAGCCCTATCTCCGACCAAGAGGTCAGAGAAAAAAGAAAAAAGAATAATGCCCAGAAATTGACATAGTTCAAATGATTAATGCATATAGTATCGATCAAGAGCCCACCTAATACGTTCTCGAGCTCAAAAATAACAAATAAAAAATGACTTTGGCTGCAATAAGGTAAGAACGTAGCAAAAGAACATTTCAGAAACTTTCATGTGATCAGATATCAACCATATAAAGAGCAAACTTTTCATTTGACACACGGTTAAATATAAACAAAGTTCTAACTTTCTAAGCTAAAATCAAATCATATTCTTTTAACTCAACAACAGCAGAGTAAACCACTTCGAAGTATATGATGGTATGATTTTGAAATGCTTCGAAGTGAAGATTGTTTTGTTTTTGCATCATTTATACCATCCAGTAAGCAAATACCTCAGCAAGAAACAGAAGCAGCAAGAAACGCCCTGCTCACAGATAAATGTAAGAACGATTATATAGAACAAAACATGGAGATGCATTCGTGATACAAACCAAGGCATCAATCATGCAATATAAACTTCAAGGAAAATGTGAAGAAAATGTTGTTCAAACTATCACATGATGTTGTCGTTCGTACATTAAAGAAGAATAAAGCTTCATTTATTCTTAAATGGTCACAGGGTGGATGATAATTTAGAATTATGGTATTTCTTTAATGGATCAAGTTGGTAAGGATTCATATATTCCTTTCTATTCAATTTTGTGATCATAGAGGGACCCCTTTACCATTATGTATAAATCGACTATTATATTTGTACATATATGGTATAGGGGTACATTCAATCTTTGTTTGTCTATTAGTTCACCATTCTTCGTAGGGTAGAATAGCTTGGTTCAAATCCTGTCTTCGCAAAATAAATTTTTTTTTGTCTAAATTTTTTGTGGATGGTAATTTAGAGTTATGGTGTTTCTTTAATGTATTTTAAAACTTATTTACCTAGTGGCAAATTATGGTCATAAAATATACACAGTGGTTAATTATGTTCATAAATAATAAACGTTACACCGTTTGGAATGCCTTATAGAAGGTTAAGGATTTTAATTTTGAGACTATATAAAGCCATGTATGTTCTTCTAAGAGACCAAATGTTTTCTTTTAGCCAATGGCTAAGTTTCTTTACAATTCTATATAGTTTAGATGACATGTTTAGAATCATTTAAGCTTAACATGATCAATCTTCTGAAGTGATTCGAATCTCAATTACGTGTTCTTGCCTTGAGATATTTAATCAACAAGATAATTCGAATTTTACTTTTCCTTGGAGTGATTCCTTATCACTAAAGCTAGTGTTCTTACATTTTCCTTTAGCCAATGACTAAGTTTCTTTGCAATTCTATATAGTTTATCCCTTGGAGTGATTCCTTATCACTAAGGCTAAGTGTTCTTACATTTTCCTTTAGCCAATGACTAAGTTTCTTTGCAATTATATAGTTTATATTGCATGTTTAGAATCATTCAAGTTTGACACGATCAATCTTATTACTTTTGGAGTGATTCAAATCTCAATCTAGTGTTCTTGCCTTGAAATAATAAGGTAATCCGAATCTTACTCCCCTTAAACGGGATTAATTCTATATAGTCAAGTTCATAACGAACTAAGGGGATTAATTCTTCTTTCTTTTCTTGTTCAGGATGCCTTTGAATAGAAGAAAAACAAAAACAAAACAAAAAAAAATCACCTGGAAAACAAGAAGATAGGTGCAAAGTGATTTCTCTGTTTTTCTCCCAAATATTCGCAAGAAAAAGTTCACAAGTGTTCCATCATTTGTTCCAGTCAGTAGTCCACTCTGTGGATCAAATCTGTGGGCAAGAAGATATAAGAAGACTAAACTATGCAGCAGTATTATTTTTTTCCCCCAAAGAAAAGAAGGATAATAGGATAGGAAAATGCATACCTCGGCAGCCGATGACGTGGACACGCAACAAATCCAAACAACTGCAAACACGTATCTTACACGTTAAACGATGAAAACATACAGATAAGTCTTACACGCACGGAGTAGAGGATCGAACCTGGGGGAGTGACAGAAGGAAGTTCAGAACTTGAGGGAAAAAGAAGATCAGAAGAGTTTCACTGCATCAGGAAGGATATAACAAAAACGAATTAGAAGATCATAGTTAACAAGTCTTGAACCAGTATCTTCAAACAAATGTCATTTGGCTGTGAATCATTTTTTTTACCATTTGGCCAAAGGTAAGTCTTGAATAATCGAAAGAAAGTAAAGACTCAACTCAAGATTCATTCGTTTGAACGAGAAGGAAAGACTCAAATTCTTCTTTCACTCTTTCACTCGGTAAATAGACTGGACGAGAGAAGAAGGTAAAGCAATTCCTTTGCCTTGTCTTCAAGAAAGAAAGAACACTCGCAAGGACTTTTTTATTTTCCATTGAGTACGTTTATTTGTTTTTTTTTTCTTTGTTGCTTCTTTGGAGCATGTCCAATCATTAACATGTAGAATCACATTTGTCTATTGCGTGGGAAGGGACAGGATCTGAGCGACGAAGAGCTGAATCTCAGTGGATTGTGGCAGCAAGGCCACTCTGCCACGATACCATTAGATTAATAAGGGTACAATAGTCATTAGATAAGGAGTTCGCTAGCACGAGATGAGGGTAGACAATATTTTCGTTGTTTATGCATGAGCATACTCGAGTAAGGGCTCCAAGTTTCTTGGATTACATGGACATTCTATGATTTAGGGAAAAAGCTAAGACCTCGGACCCTTTGCAGAGTCGTACAAAAGAAATCTCTTTTGGCTGATTTGTGATCAAAAGAAGTAATCCAATTTCCAAAGATAAATGAAGATTTGTGTAGCTTCAGGCTTCCTCTCAAGCAAAACTACACAGGAACTAGTTTGTTTTTTCTTCTTTTCCTTTTGATGTGTTATCGACTTATATTTGTGAAGCCACAAGCAAAGGCAGATACCGTTATCACTTAATAATCCCAGAATCCTGATCTTTTCAGATATCTGGAGTTCATTTTGAGTGCTCAAGATCGTTAGCCCATCTCCTCCTCGCCGTTTTTTGTGTATTCCATCTACTTGACTATGAAATGTCAATTAAGTTCTAGGGAAGAAAAAAAAAGCGAAACTTAGAACAAAGTACGCACCTAAAATGGCCTAGAATCCCGACCACAGCCATAGTCATCCCAGCAAAGTATGTATAGGTATCTCCCACGAAGACCGATGACGGGTACCTAAATCACGCAAGCCAACAAAAGATGTTGAGAAGACTGAAACATCAAGGAAAAACAGGTAAAAAACTATACGATTTTCGTAAAGCACGATAAATTACCAATTGAAAGCTAGCAAGCCTAAGGATGTGGCTAATAGGGGTTGAACAAGATATGTAGAAAATGCATGGGCCTGCTTGTACTCAGGATCTGTTGACGCTCCAATTTGCATAACGTTATGAACCAATATCTGCAAATTGCTAAGACATGTCATGCTCAAGAAAATTGGGCCCCTTTACTACAGCTTGTTCAGTACTTACCGCAAATGAAATGACAACTGTTTGCCCAACTTCCAAGCCATTTAAACCAGCATGAATGTTAATGGAGTTTGTACAGAACACTGCCAATAGTCCCATATAAAGCTTATATATCCATCCTGTGTATCATAGTGTAGTAGAAATTAGTATCTCGATCACCAAATTATTGGAGAGCTAAGCCAAGTTAGGATTAAGACATTAACTCGTTTGAAATGCTGACCAAGTACATCAACGTTGACACTCACCACTAGCAGATATTTTCCTCTTTGGGCTTTTTCTTTCAGGCTTTTCCTCAAGGTTTTTAAAGCGCGTCTGATAGGGAGAGGTTTCCACACCCTTATAAAGAGTGTTTCGTTCTCCTCCCCAACCGATGTGTGATCTCACGAGAAGTTATTACTGAAGTTACCAATGTGTTAACTGCCTAGGAAGCAGAGACTTATGTGGCCACCGGACTTAGAACTGACGCTTAGTTACAACACAAGCTTCATGCTACATGTTAGTTTAGAACGGCCAAGCGACATGCAAGCAAGCACTGGTTCTCATCCTTAATAAAGTTCCTGGCATAATAAAAGAGTATAACACTTTCAGAGGACTGTTTCTAGATATATACCACAACAGTCTGGGGAAATGGTCAGCTCCGGTGAGATCCCATACCGATTGGAGAGAGGAACAAAACATTCCTTATAAGGGTGTGGAAACCTCTCCCTAGCAGACACGTTTTAAAAAACCTTGAGGTGAAATCCGAAAGAGAAA